AGCAGTACCATCAGCTGGATCATCCCCTTCCCCCCAAACTTCATGAACTCGTTGACTATCCCATCCGCTCCTGCTGCTTTGTGGCACTTCAGCTTGTTCACACACGTCTCAACCTCGTCCTCAGTGAACTCCTTTTCTAGTTCTACGTTCCCAACGTCTGCCTTCGATATCTCTTCTTTTTGGGAGGAGGGAGCTTTCAAAACGACACGACGAAGACAACCTGCATCAGTCAAGCGAACCCCGCAGCGACACCCCATCTCACCTTAGAGTCGTGAGAAAGTCTTCAAGGGATTCGTGCTTGTCGGGGAACGTTTCTACGAGGCAGCACATCTCGAAACTCTCCAGCGTCTGCTCCAGGCAGGGGTTTCCACCCATGGCCTTGGAGTCGCGGTCGTTCTTCTCGTCCCCCATGCGACCGTATGCTCGCATGTTCTCCAGCCATGCGAAGCCAGGTTCTCCATTCTTCTGGATGCGCTCGCACACCTTAGCGTTCGAAACATCCATCAGGACACGCGCAACACCACGGTTACAGCCGTTCGAAATAGAAAAGGAACTGTAAAACAAACGAGACAGTTGAGTACCGTTGCTGCGTGACCATTGGCCCTAAGTGCAGCCTGTGTCTGAGCTATCACTGTACTGTACCTTGGTGTAGTCCATGCCCAGCGGCGCTAGCACGGAATTGTTTGAAGCCCACCCGAAACTCGCCCGGTCTGGGTTCTTGTCGTAGTTTTTGAGGTCGATGTACTCATCGCTTCCTGGATCACCGAACGCGATTTCGGCCGTTCGTCGGACGTTGCCGGCCACAACGCATACTCCCACCTGTGCAGTGCAACGAATATTGCAGTTGGTCGTTCAGGAAAAAATATCTCGCGGATGGGCAGAGGTGACTATCAAATCTGCCAGAGGCTTTGCTTAGCTTGGGTCCTGAGTGCGGTCATTGAGAACCGCGGGCTCAGAACACCTGGGGCGCGCCCATTTGCAATGCATTCTATACGTTCCGAAGCGTACACGCATCTATCAGCTTAGGCAACTGTATCTCTGTGTGACATGTGGTACGAGAAGTCACACACTGCCTCAGGTATTGCTGAAATGTGCACCGCTGGCATCTTCCTCAGATCGAAGGTTTTTTTTGAGCCTGCCATACACGCATCTTGGGAAGACTCACCTATCTATCCGACCTAACTAACGCTGAGTTTGACACAAGGCTAGGCTCGCTCGCGACGAGACACCACGCAACGCCCCTCCCTACACGATGCCTTAGAACAGGGAGGAAACAAAAACGAGAGAATGCGGCCAAGCAACATGGAAGGCGCACCTTGTTCATGAGATCGACGATAGCCGTCACCGACAAGGGTTTCCCAATCAACGGATCCAGCGTGGCCTTCACACTGGCCATTAGCTCGACCAATGGAGCACTTCCTTGTGAAACACCTCCGAACCCCCGGATGGGTGCCCCGACAGGCCTGCAAACACCCACAGATGGCGGCGGTAAGTATCGTTCTCACGCGGGACACAACTTCACCTCATCCTCTCGGTCATATGGCAGTTGGAGCCACCGCCCAACTTCATGGTGTTGAACCGATATCAAAACGGAGAGAAAAGCACCTGAATCTCGCTAAAACAACGAACCATACGCGGGAAGTGCGGCAGCAACTTGTAACAAGCCACAAGTAGAGCCGAAAACACACACTGATAAAGTGAGCTCAATCGCCCGGAAGGAGGGCCACACGCGCAGGGGTGACCGGTTGTTGCAAGCGGAGGATACCACAAAATATTTTTTACCCACCTCAAGTTTGACACGTCCAACACGGGTACTTGATGGCCAAAGAAATACGCCTCCAGGAGGAGTTTGAAAGCATCTCGCCATCCCTCCCGAGAGTCATCCACCACTATCTTTAACTCGCTCGGCCCCTGAGGGGTGGAGGCAACAAGCAACGAGGAAAATTGAGGGAATCACCTGCAAGTACAGAGGAGCCGAGCGGCTACTCTGATATAAGGAAGCATGTGATTTGAACCGAAAGCACCGCATTTTGCTGTCAAACCGAGGTCATCCGGGCGATCCGCGCTTGTGCAGAAGACAGCACAACTCACGATACCGCGACGTGCTGTGCAGGGAAACGACTCTATTTTTGCAGACGGCCTGCGCCCCCACCTCTCGACCTTCAGCGCTCCCGGGTGCCACGACGTCGATCGTTCCCGCCCCTTTCGTATCGAACCCGACCCCGACCCCGAGCATAGACGCGTCCATCAGGAAGCAAAAAGGAGCAGTCGGGTCCGACGCTAGGTCTGCGGGTGTGTGGCGGCAGCGAAGAGCATCTGTATTTTTATATCTCATGGACAGCGAATGAACGTGTTGGCGTATCATGACCGTTCAAGAGCTCTCCCCCCGGTGTTTGCCATCGGGGTTGGGTTTTCGTCGCTTGGCAAAAACGTTGTAAAACAAGCCAATTCACTTCGTGAACTCGGCAACCAGGTTACCGTTCTTTTTCTACCTCCGTTTTTTTTTTGGGCGGTAACCATAATGGTGGTCGAGTAGATCATGTTGTGCGGGGTGGAGAA